CATCTGTTATACTCACTCTCTCTCTCTCTCTCTCTCTCTCTCTCTCTCTCTCTCTCTCTCTCTCTCTCTCTCTCTCTCTCTCTCCCCTCTCCTCCTCTCTCTCCCTCTCCCCTCCCCTCCTTATATTCCACAGAATGACTCTACCTCTGAAACCCTATGGTCATCTTATGAGATAGAGGAACTGGTACTTTGGTAGAGAAGTACCAGCCCCCCCCTTTTTTTTTTTGGTGTAGAAGTTGTGTTTGGGTCATTTTAGGGCATGTGATAATTTTGGCTCCTCTGTTGTGTAGGAACGGGATTTTCCAACAGAAACTGTCAAGTTTGGTCCTGAACGCATGTATATTGATAGCTGGGTCAAAAAACATACCTATGACTCCTTTAAGGAGGTTCTTGGATCAGGGATGCAGTACCACCTGCAGGTGAGTGACGACATCCTTGCTTTAATTGAGGAGTGGGGTGGAGTCACAGGACTGGCCTGGCTTTTGAAGTTAATTCAACATCCGGGATGGATGCAGCAGGCATTAGAAAGCAGTAAAAGTCTGCTGGAACATGACTGGCGCTCTCTGAAAGCACAGCATCGGTGGTTTGCTAGGACTTAGGGCTGTAGAAAACACTTTGCCTTCTTACTGGGAAAACATAACTCTTCTTAGTTAGAGATAACCATGTTGGAGTTGTTATGTAGTGAAACAGATACTTGGATTTCACCTCTTCTGTTTATTTTAGACAAATGAATTCCTTCGCAATGTATTTGAGCTTGGGCCCCCTGTGATGCTTGACGCTGCAGCTCTTAAGACCATGAAGATTTCTCGTTTTGAAAGGGTGGGTTTTCTTTTTGTGTTTTAATAGAACTAAATGCACAGCTACTCTGGTTTCTCTTCAGGTGATAGAGATCTTTTGGTTTTGAAGAGAAATAGACCCAAAACTCTTACTCTGTCTGGTAATGGGAACATTTCCACGTTTCTGTTGTACTGGGTAATAGCTTGGTGAGATCCAGGAGAGCATGTATAGCATGAAATCGTTACTGGGCATCATTGCCTTTTTACCATTTCAAAAATTGTTAAGTGGAGTTTGGCTTTTTATTGAGGTGACATTATGTAACAGAATTTTAATGTACTTTATTATGACCCAGTGTGATGTACATCTGTTAGCTGTCTAGTTCCTTTGTGATTTTATCTCTTTCCCCTAGCTTGTTTATAAGTTTATCTTGCCTTCTTGATCTGTGTATATTTTTCTTTTTCGTTTCAGCATTTATATAACTCTGCAGCTTTCAAAGCTCGAACAAAAGCTCGAAGCAAATGCCGAGATAAGAGAGCAGATGTTGGAGAATTCTTCTAGATGTCTGCACTTGATGGCTGTTTTCTAATTTCTTCTTTTATTATTATTTTTGCTACTTCTAATGTATATAAGCTTTTAGAGACAGTTTTTTATCTTGAGGTAAATTTAGATAATTTTTAATGTTGGGTGGATTATATTTTAATTTAATGTACAGTGTTACAAATTAATGAATTCTGTTTATTAATTATCTCTGTAAAAATAATTGGAATCCACAAATAAAGTGTTTATGATGTTTGGTCATATTCTGTGTAATGAGCAGAAGATGGTATTTCATAATAAAAATTAGCAGCCAAAGGTTAACTTGTTTACACTGTTCCTCAGAAGTACTGACAGATTAAAATGATACACGCATATAGGGTATTTCACTTGACACATAGATAATTTTGGGGAATGCATTCCTCTGGGAAAGCTACTGTATTAAGTTTAAGTGGAAGGTGGTCACTATTTTAGTTGGGCCAGTGGGCTCATCAAAGGCTGTTACTGCACGCTGCGTTCAGGCCCTTGTGTTCAGACCTTGGGATTCATGTTATAATTAGCTTATGCCAGAATGGCTGCCAACCTTCGTCCCTAAGAGCCAAGAGCAGGAGGTGCTGTGTGTTTTCCTCTTGGGAATAAAGGTTTTTTCCCACTGAAAGTGCCTCTTAATAGAAGAAACAGTTTATGACTGGAGTCAAGCCAGGCACCAGGGAGTGAGACAGCTGTATTTGGAAACCAAAGGAGACAAAGCTTTGAGTACTCAGACATTGAGATGAAGAGATGTAGCATCATGGATAACCGGACTTAGGTTAGTGAACCTCGGGGTTTCTGCCTTGTTGCCCCTGCCTGGCATCTTGACTTAAACATTTTGAGTGCATACCCTGTGCTTCCATGTGTGCAGTGGGTACATGGACTTGTTAACTTGATGCTGAGGGTGGGCCTAGGACTTGTTAACTTGATGCTGAGGGTGGGCCTAGGAAGCATGTCGCTTGAGGAGTTTCTCCCAGATTACTGTTTGTGTCCTCAGAAACAGGAAGAAATCTTACTCTTCGGGGAAAATCTGGCTTGTGGCTCTCAGTTCAACCCTCAGATACAGCACAGTGGGGAACACTGGGATCCAGAGCGTGGCGGTGTGTATTGTCACTTTGATTCCAAGTAGGCTAGAGTCTTAGGAACCATTGTCAATAGGATCCCCTACATTTTCAGTTCGCGCATATGTATACTTTATGTGTCCCTCCACATTTGTGTACACGAGCGCCATTCCTCATCGTCCCTTCATCTTTTCCTGAAAACGGATCCTGCCTCGACCTCTCCACTACTGAGACTGGCCACTTTGATTTGTGGGTTCTGAGTACCCAAGTCAAGACTTGGGCTTTCCAGACGAGCACTGTACTTCCAGTCCTGTGTATGTGTTCTAAGGAGTTTTTATCACAGTAAACATAGTTTATTTACTTCAAGGCTTATTATGAAGGCTGTTTCTCTCTCCCTGTAATCTGTCAGCTCCTCAGCACCAGCTTAAGCTTCAGTGGCGTTCTCCCTTAGTTTCATGTTTCTCACATTTCTCTGATTATGCAAAATAGCAGTTTCTTTTTTGTTTTTTGTTTTTTTTCGAGACAGGGTTTCTCTGTATTGTTTTGGAGGCTGTCGGTCCAGCCCGGCCTCAAACTCACAGAGATCCGCCGGCCTCTGCCTCCTGAGTGCTGGGATTAAAGGCGTGCGCCACCACCGCCCGGCTAAAATAGTTTCTTGATTTATTGTCTTTCTGCATTGGTTGACTTAAGTGAAGAGTTATTTTTGCCTTAAAGTGGTGTTTACTTGGATTTTACACACACACCAAATGCTTGCCGACAGTTCTCCTAACCGACTTGGTTCTCTGTCAGTCAGTGTAGGTTAGTGTCTCGCCCAAGTAAGTGTACAGCTGTTTTTGAAATATCAAAATTATTTGGATTTGTTTCCAAGTCAGAGTCCACACTCATTTGTCCTCCCGGGTGGCATTCATTCTTGGAGTTCCGTGTCTCCTGTGGTTTCTTAGGAATGTATACAAAAGGGATCAGTTATTTTAAGGCCTCGTCTGGAGGCTAGTTTGACTTGTGAATTTCTGTGTAGAAGATCAAGTTCAGAATTAAACTTTGGACAATTCAGTTTTGAAAGGTTTGTTGTGATGTGTGAAAATGAGTTTTTCGTCGTTAGCACCTAAAATCGGTTACATGGCAGATAGCATGCTGAGCAATCTGGAAATAAGTTTTTCATAGTCTTCATTTTGTTGCTGGAGCTACCAGAATGACTTCGGGCCTTATTTTTCTAGTTTCTTCCTTGAGAGACAATGCCTTAACACGTTCAGTCTTAGTCCATCTTGTCTGTGGCTCACATTAATTGACTTGCCTTGGTTTAGTTCACGCTTACATCTTAACATCCCAGCTGGCCTGTCTGCAGCAGTGGTTGGTTTGTCAGAATCCGCCTGCAAATCCAGGCACCTCAGTCTCCTCCCAGAGTGCTCTCATTTACTGAATCGTAGTATTTCTTCCTTTTTGTCATCTTGTGGCCTTTATTCCTATGGAGTTTACAAAGATGGAAACTTCCAGATCATTGAGTAATTTCTGCTGATAAAGATTTCTGGGAACCTGATGGGTAAAAATGAATTGAAAGTAGTGAGGTGCTGTGCTGCTGTGTGGTTGGCCAGCCAACCACTTATTCTCAGCCAAATGGCTGTGGTTCAAGAATTCATTTTGGAGCAATCAACTATGGCCAACTTGACTCTGGTGGTATTTATTGGGTTTCCTGGGAACTGAATCTGAATACCACCAGGAACATTTCAAAGAAATAGCAAGGAATCTTTGACAATATTTTCTTCTGATTTGGAATTCCGAAAGCAGCATTTCAGATATTCAAGAAGTGGTCATGTTCTGGTCAAGTCCTCTTCTAGGATTCTGACTAAAGACAGTCACCTTCAGACAGGTGTGGGGGGATGCCTGGAGTCCGCCACTTGCCCGCTGGCAGTGGAGTTCCTAGGCTCTGTAGTTCTCAAGGGCTCACACTTGAGGATTAGAAAGTTAGTCAAGAGGGGAGAAACTGGTCAGGAAATGGAGCAGGTACTGTTGCAAATGATGGGGGTTTGAGACACATGGGGGAATTAGGCTTTTGTTTTGTGACCTGCAGGACAAGATGATGGAGCTTAGTTTAAAATGTGTGACACTTGGGATAAAAGTTACCAATTACATAGTCTTCTAGTTCTCAAAATGAGCATTCCTGTTCCCCAACAGTTCAACTGAGTCCCTAAAGAAAGCTGTAAGGGAAACTGAGTAATGAGCAGGCAGCCGTGCAAGGTACCACAGCTCATAAACAACTACAAGTCTCTGCCCATGCTAACAGAGCAGCCCGAGTGACATCTGTAGGTCCTCCACTCACTGTTACAGCCTTTTGTGTACACCAGGGGGCAGAGCTGCTTGCCGGGGGTAGAAGGGAAACAAGACTGCTTTTCCCGAGAACTGATGCTGTGCCTAAGCTTAGAAGAAAGCTTGGAATGATGAAATGTGCAATCTTTGCAGTCACATTTAAAAAAAAAAAGCTAATTGGAGACCCAGGAGTCCTCTGCTCTAGATCTGTAAAAGTCTCCCTAAAGGCAGGTGTCAAAGGCTTGCCTAGTCACCAGCCCGTGGACCTTTAAGTGTGGAACTTGGTGGAAGGCAGATCGTTAGGATCATGCCCCTGAAGGGCACACTTGGACCTGGTCCCTTCCTCTGCTTTGCTTCTTGGCTGCCAGGGACAAAGCCTCTGATCTCTGCTGTACCCACTACGGTGTCTACTCTTGCTGCAAGCCTGGGCCAGAGGTCTGCAACAGTGCGCTAGTATAAACCTTTATAACAGCAGACTCATTTTGGATACTTTTGACACAGGAATGGAAAGCTAACACCGGCCACCATGCTAGTTGTGTTATCACAGCTATTCCTGTTTACTGTAGCTCTCTGGTCAGGCTGGAGTCCCTGCACGCCAGCTGTCGCCGCAGTAACACCTGCTCCAGGCAGGGCTACTTATTTCTACACAGGAGCATACCGTAGCAGAAGTGCTGGGCGTGTGTGGTCAGCTGACTCAGCCCAGTCACTTCCACTGAGCGAGGACTTTGGACTTCAATTTAACCAAGAACCACATTAGCTACCAACTCAATCAAGGCTTCGTGGTTTCTTGTCTTAAAGCAAAAGTTTCAGGAATTCATATCTAAAACTCTCAGACAATATGGGTGAATCTTGCATTGCGTGGCTAAATGAACACTAAATATAGACCACCAATAATGTGCTGGGCTTATGGGAGAGCACTGTGAGCAGCAGAAAGACCAAGAACAAAGTACAGAGTTGGTAGAAAGTTTTGCTGTCATTGCTCCCGAATAGTCTTTCCCAGGCAACTGAGCAGTCAGAGCGCACATCTTTGTAAGTAATTTGCATGCTTTTCCGTACTGAGACTGAAGGGTGGTTCTTGTGTCCAGTTTGTGAGTCTATGGACCTTTCACTGAAGGACAGTTCTTGAGTTCGTGGGGTTTTCACTGCATGCTCAATGTGCTTTTTGACTTCTTGAAAAGATGTAGACTTGCTTTTAAAAATTTGCTCCGTGACTGCAGAGTGAACTCAGGAGTGCAGTTAACAAGTGGGGATGACTCACTCAACAAAGCATCTTGTTAAGCTTTGAATTCAGTTTTAACTGCAAGCAATTCTGAGTTTGTGGCATGCAATGCGGTGTTGTTTGTTTTGATATGAAAGGTGTGCGGGGGTGGGGGGTGGAAGGGAGTACATTGATTTTTTTTTTCAGAGACTTTTTATTTGTCACAATATCTATTGGTAGAAAAATCAAGCAACTATTAAGTGACGAATGGCCAAATGGTTCAGCTGAAGCAGTGATTGAGAGCACGGGAAAATGAAATTACTTATCGTCTCCGCTCCAGGGTTAGAAGCTGTCCCGTTATGCTGCCTTGGCCATTGGTGACCTACTCGGCGGAGTGGGACAGGAGGGCCGAGGTAGTGTGACACAGGATGGGTAGTCACCCTCCGCACCCGTCGTGCTGGTTGCTCCCAAATGCCCTCATTTGAGCTGCCAAAGATAGCAACCGCTGGCGTCAACAGCTGTGGGTTCTGGGTTTCAAGACATGTGACCTTGTATCCATTTACTGGCAGAGTCACTGGCCAGCCACCCGCAGGCTCTCAGAAGCCATGTGTCACCTAAGCCTGTTTTCTTTACCAGCTTATCTTTTTATGTGTTGCAACACTGGAAAAGTATATTGAAATACATCTACCGACACCGCGCCCACTGTGACGATTTTCTGTCAGAGTGCTCCATTAACAACTTTTATCGCAGATTTTATTTTAAATCGTGTGTTGGAGGGCACCTGCTCATGCCACAGTGCTTACGTGGCGGTCGGAGGACAGCCTGCAAACTCACAGGAGTCTCTGGGAAGCACGTGAAGGACGGGGAATTCTGGCTGCGTGGCTTGCTGTCATCTCTCCATCCGTTCGGTTTCTCAGCATCGCTTTCTTACTCTGGCAAGGCAAGGCCAGTCCATTTTATAGCTGGACTCTCAAGACAAGACTTTTTAAGCAATGACTTTTCTAGCTAGTCCTCTACTTTGTAAACTTTTTTTTCCAACAGCAGTAGCATTCCTGAGGGTGAAATAGAAGCTGGAGGATATTAAGTCAGATTCAGAAATGAACTGTGTCTCCGTTACCATGCCCAAAATAGAAGCTGTCTTTGCAACAATCATCCCACCACCTGACACAGACAGCTTTTTTTTTCTGATCCAAAAGGAAAAAAAAAAAAAAGAGTAGTGCTTGTGGTAATGAGGTGCGTAGAGATGACGAGAAAGAAAGGAAGCACTTGTAGGATGGCTGAGGGCTAGGTGTCAGCACTGGGGGACCTGGCTTGTCCGCCAAGGGGTGAGCTTTGCTCGCTAGGGCATGTTCACTCCGGCCGCTGCTGCTGCTGCGTTTGGACCGCTCCATGGAATATACTTGAAATTCACTAATTTCACTTCTTCACATGTTTTGTAATGTCTCAATGCATACAGTGCACTGTGTTTTTCCAATCGAAAATTCAGGAAAATGAAAACAGTTTGAATTCCTGAAAAAAAGAACCAATGCATGACTTTCCTTTTTTGGGGGGGGGGTTACGAGGCAGGGTTTCTCTGTATTGTTTTGGAGGCTGTCGGTCCAGCCCGGCCTCGAACTCACAGAGATCTGCCTGCCTCTGCCTCCCGAGTGCTGGGATTAAACACAATGCATGACTTTCTGATTGCAGAGTGTCTCTTAGGTAGGGATCTACGAATGTTTTACACAAGTACCACTAAATTGTAGGTGCCACTGGAAAATCACTGGATTTTTATTATTTTAAAGACTTACTTTTTTTTTTACTTATTGTTATTAGTCTCGGTCTCTCTCGGTCTCTCTCTGTCTCTCTCTGTCTCTGTCTCTGTCTCTCTCTCTCTCTCTCTCTCTCTCTCTCTCTCTCTCTCTGTGTCTGCATTTGTGTGTGAGCCACATGTGTGTAGGTACAGAGGCCGTAGGAGGAGGTCAGATCCCCTGGAGCTGCAGTTTAAGGTGGTTGTGAGCTGCATGGTCTCGGTGCTGGGAACCAAACTCAGGTCCTCTGGAAGAGCAGCAAGCTTCTGAAGCTGAGTCATTCGTCCAGCCCTGAAGCTCCTGATTCTTTATAGTGTAGTTTAAATGTGTGATACTTTCCAGATTTTCCCTGGCTATATTAGCATCCTTTCCCCCATTTAGTCTCTCCTATCTCTGTAGTTATTTTTATTCTATGGTTGGGTCTTAAAAGAAATCTCTTCAAGAGAATGGTATCAGCTGGGCGTTGGTGGCACACACCTTTAATCCCAGCACTCGGGAGGCAGAGGCAGGAGGATCTCTGTGAGTTCGAGGCCAGCCTGGTCTACAAAGCGAGATCCAGGATAGCCTCCAAAACAATACAGAGAAGACCTGTCTCGAAAAACAAAACAAAACAAAATAAAAAAAACAACAAAAAAAGGAGAATGGTATCAGGAAGAAATCTGTTGCCACCTATAGGCAGGCACAACATGTACAGCGCTTCCTACCCCCCTAAGAATTATTTTAGTTGTGTATGTGTATCTTACTTAGTATGTGCGTGTGAGGGCAGGTGTCCAAGAAGGCCACAAGAGGGAGCTGCATCCCCTGGAGCTGGAGTTCCAGGTACTTGTGAGGCCCTGGACCGTGGTGCTGAGAACTGCACCCAGATCCTCTGAGGGAACAGTACTCACCCAGAACGTGGAGCCCTCTCTCCAGTCCCCAGTGCCTTCTAGACCCCAGACCTTATATCACCACTAACTCACTTTATGGAAAGAAACAAGCTTCCTTAGTCATTGGCAAGTTTTGGCAGCTTGCTTTTCACATCTTTAAACGGTCCAGGATCTCCTATTATGTTAGATTGTGTGTGTGTGTGTGTGTGTGTGTGTGTGTGTGTGTCTATGTATGTGTCTATGTGTGCATGTGTGTGTGGTGTGTGGTGTCTGTGTGTGTGCATGTGTGTGTCTATGTATGTGTCTATGTGTGTGTGGTGTGTGGTGTCTGTGTGTCTATGTATGTGTCTGTGTGCATGTGTGTGGTGTGCTGTCTGTGTGTGTGCATGTGTATGTGTCTATGTATGTGTCTATGTGTGCATGTGTGTGTGGTGGGTGGTGTCTGTGTGTGTGCATGTGTGTGTCTATGTATGTGTTTATGTGTGCGTGTGTGTGTGGTGTATGGTGTCTGTGTGTGTGCATGTGTGTGTCTATGTGTGCTTGTGTGTGTGGTGTCTGTATGTGTGAGTCTATCTGTGTATGTGTGCATGTGTGTGTGCCTATGTGTGCATATGTGAGTGGTGTGCGATGTCTATGTGTGTGCATGTGTGTGGTGTGTGTACGCGTGCACTCACATGTAGGTAGGAGGTCAATGTCAAATATCTTCCGCTATCACATTATGTTTGAGACAGGGTCTCTCACTGAACCTGGAACTTCCCGCTTTGGCTGGACTGGCCAATCCAATGCGCCCCTGCGATCCGCTTGTCTCCACCCTCATTGGGGCTGTGGATGGACACCCGTGCGCCCAGGTTTATGTGCTGGAGATGTGACGTCAGGACCTCATGGTTGTGCAGCAAGCATTTACACACAGAGACAGCTTGCCGGCTGTGCACTGAAGGGTGTTCCTGCAGACTTGATTAGCTGCCTCAGGTTCTTCTGTGTGGAAGCTGTGCTGTCAGGAGAGAGCAATCAGTGGGTCAGTGGTTAAGAATACATACCACTCTTCCCGGGGAGCTGAGTTCAATTCCCGGCAACCACATCAGGCAGCTTACAACTACCTGTAGCCCAGCTCCCTCCAGGTGATATAAAAAGTAATTCTTACATAAATGACCTCAGTTTCTTGGAAGCCAGATGGAAGAGATCAGGTCCCACAACTGTCAAGATTCCTCTCTTTCTGGGCAGTCGTGGTGTACCTCTTCAATCCCAGTGTTCCAAAGGCAGAGGCAGGCAGGTCTCTGTGAGTTCAAGGCCAGCATGATCTACAGAAACAGCTCCAGAATAGCAAGGGCTACATAGAGAAACCTTGCCTCAGAAAACAAAAATAAGCAAGAAAAGATTGGCTGAAGAGGTGTCTCAGCAGTTAGGGCACTTGCTACTCTTGCAGAGGCCCTGAGTTCAGGTAAACTACAGTCACCACACTGTAGTTCACAGCTCCCTAACTCTAGTTTCCAGAAATCCAACTGTCTTTTCAGGCTTCCTCGGGCACCAGGCTTACATGTGGTGCATATACACACATGCAAGCAAATAAAAAGAAAACTGAAAATAGAAATAATCATATCTGTGTAATAGCCCCGATTGTTCTGGTCTCTGTAGACCAGGCTGGCCTCAGACTCACTGAGATCTGCCGTCTCTGCCTCCTGAGTGCTGAGATTAAAGGCGTGTGTGACCATGCCCATGCCCTTGACAGATCCTTTCCTTAGTGCCTATATTTGCTAAGGTTTTGTCCTGGGAAGCCACAGCAAGCACCTAACGGCTAAAGGATATGTCTGAGAGCAAGGACTCAAGCCAAACTGAAGAAAACACAGAGCTTGCCGTTAGCACTTTTTCGTTGTCTGCTGTGTTAACGTGGGAGATGTGTGATTCTGTTCTTTCCTTCCACCGCAGGGACATCTGAGAGCCAACTCAGGAGGTCAGGCTGGTGGCAAGTGCAAGATTGCAATTTTGTGTTAAATTAGGAAACCAGGGGCCTGGAGACCTGGCTTACAGGTTAAGAGCACTGGCTGCTCTTCCAGACGCTCTGAGTTCAATTCCCAGCACCCATATGGCAGCTCACAACTGTTTGTAACTCCATTCTAGGGGACCTGGCCCCCTCCCAAGGGCATACCTGCAGGCAGAACACCGATGCACACAAAATAACAATACATAAATGATTTTTAAAAATTAGGAAAGTAGAAGGGTTATCTATTTGTTCATCTGCCTGTCTTTGTGGTCATTTGTTGACGAGCTTGTTTTGTCTTCATAATTATAAGTAGTATTTTTGCAGAAAGGCCTTGAAGTGTGTCGATCTAGGAACAAGCTAATAAGAGAGACACGTTTCGAAAGGCAATTATGAAATAAAAGTCAGATCCAGGGAAAATAAGATGACATGGGAAGCTGAGAAGGAGGAGAGAGCATTGCAGGCACACAGGTAGGAGCTGCTGGATGCTAGCCACACATTCGAGTCTGGCAACCAGAGGCCAAAGAATGGCCACTACAGAGGCCCACAAGGACATACTTCCTTCTAGACACAGTCTTGCTGGACTATAGCACCGCGTTTGTGGGCAATGCTCTGGCTTATGCATTTCCTCGGCCTCTTCTTCCTGATGGTGGTATTTTCTTTCAGGGACAATGACTCATTCCTCCCAGGATGCCCGACCTCATGGCATCCACGAAGAAGGGAAACTTTATGTTGTGGATTCCATAAATGACTTAAACAAACTCAATCTTTGCCAGACAGAATCGCAGCATCTATTCCGTACGTATGGTCCTGGAAGTGTTTCAGGCTGCCATGGCTTTGGGACTTCCTAAAAGTATCAAGGGCACAGTGGCTGTGTTCCACGTGGTGGGGGCAGGGTGTGCATCAGCGATCACTGGGCACCAGAAATGCTATTTACCATTAAACAGTTTTCATTTTATGCTCCTAATCCTTCACAGGATAATCGACTTTTTTTTGGCAATATCTAAACCCTTCAAAATTCCTGAGACAAGCAAGGCATACTGGCCCATGCTTGTAATTCCAACTGTTGGACAGGTGAGGCAGGAGAATCATAAATTTAAGGTCAGCTTGGGCTACAACAGGTAGTTCCTGGCAGCCTGGTTGCATAGTAAGAGTCCGCTTCATGTCCTATTTTTTCCCTTTGAAACTCCTGGGGAGTGGGGTAGTGGTGGCGCACGCCTTTAATCCCAGCACTTAGGAGGCAGAGGCAGGTGGATCTCTGTGAGTTCAAGGCCAGCCTTCAGAGCAAGCTCCAGGACAGCCAAGGCTGCTACACAGAGAAACCCTGTCTCGAAAAACCGAAACAACAATAAAAGCCTTCTGGGGAAGAATCATGCAGTGTTTTTGCCACTGGGCAGGAGGGAGGCATTGGTGTCAGCCTGTGCTATATACGGCTTTGATTAGGAGGCTGAAGCTGTTGAGAGGATGGGACACGGGATGTACCTGATTAGATAATCAATCAGTGCGATGTGTGGGACCAATTCAGAGAGGAGGAGAATGTAAAATGTAATCCAGCAATCTCCCTACCCTAGGGGCTCACAGCTCTTATCCAACTTTATTCGAGCGTTACTAGGCACATAAGAGTTACAAAGTAGCTAATGAAAGGCAGTTCCCAGCCCAAAGTGTTAAGAAGAGCCTCCTCCGAGAGCAAAGCTATCTTGGAAATAGCTTTAAGAAACCAAAATACCCCAGGGGTTCTTTTGTCTAATGGATATTGGACCTAAGTGATTATTCTGACAATAAAAACAATTTCCTGAGAGATGCCACACAGTGTTTGGTCTTCCACACGGGGAAGGTATCACATACCCAGCTCCACTTAGATCACTGAGGAGATGGGCAGTAGCTCCTCCATCAATCTTCCATTCCATTTCCAAAGAATAATTCATGCCCCTTCTACTCCACAGTTAACAGTTTCCAAAGATCCTTCCAAATGGGTACAAGGTCATAGCTTAAGCCTACTCACTCTTTGAATTCTAACAGAGAAGGTAAACAGATCCAAAACTGCTCTTCCAAAGGCATCCCAGATGCAGAATCACTTCCCAGGGCTTTCCAGGGGGGAAAAAAGTGTACCATCACATCTCTCAGTGTGGTTCTGAGATTCTGTTGTTTTCTCTCCTGTTAGCTTTAGAGGAGAAAATCCCAAACGCTGGTACAAACCCAGGAAATGGAAGCCGAGGTCTGTTTTTTGTGGGGCTGCTCCTGGTGTTGACAGTCAGCCTAGCTATGGTCTTCTTTGCCATCTTCCTAATAAGTAAGTACTTCAGGCAGGCTTGCCTCTCTCTGTCTCTCTGTCTCTCTGTCTCTCTGTCTCTGTCTCTGTCTCTGTCTCTGTCTCTGTCTCTCTGTCTCTGTCTCTGTCTCTGTCTCTGTCTCTGTCTCTGTCTCTGTCTCTGTCTCTCTCTCTCTCTCTCTCTCTCTCTCTCTCTCTCTCTGTGTCCTGGTCCTGTATCTAGCTAGCACTTTCTGGCCATCAGAATTTCCAGGAAAAGCCAGGGGGAGAGCCAGTGTCTTAAGGGCACCTTGTTGCTTCTGGATAGGGTCTTTGAGAACAAGCTCACAGCACGCTCCCACAATGCAGGGTCACATTTATGTTAAATACTTATATAAGCTTTTAATTTGTCACTTGGAGCCCCAAATTGTACACAACATATCCTACTTAATTTTAGCTTCCTTTGCTCATTGCATAGATTTCTTCCTTACATCTAGACGTAACATACATTTTCATGAGGTTCTCCACTCCCTGCATCTTTTCTCATTTGCATATCACCCAAGAGGTCAGTCCAGAGTAACCAGGGCTCAGGCTGGTGACGGGAGACAGTGCCAGGGATGCGAGGAGCAGGTCACTTCTTCCCTGTCTGGGGTTAGCCTCTGTCCTGTCTACTCTCGGCCTGAGAGATACGTGTCATACTCTTAATTGGTGACATGGAGGCTTTCCCACATCTCAGTGTAGAGACCCCTAAGCGGATTCCTGTCAACCTCCTGTCAGCTTTGGACAGCAGGAGAGGAACTGCCTGCCTGCAGTGTCGTGTGTGTGTGTGTGTGTGTGTGTGTGTGTGTGTGTGTGTGTGTAGGATGTGAGGGGGGGCGCTCACTCCTCCACCAGAGCCACGAAAATTCTCTCTCAGATGACCCTTTTATACTATATCTGGAGTTACTGCTTTTCCATACCACAGAAGGCTACAAAGAGCTGAGGATAGGAGGGTCTTACCTTTTTGTTTTTTTTAAATTTTTATTTCACGTGCATTTGTGTTCTGCCTGCATGTATGTCTGTGAGAGGGCATCCGATTCTTTGGGACGAGAGTTACAGACAGTTGTCAGCCTCCATGTGGTTGCTGGGAATTGAATCTGGGTCCTCTGGAAGAGCAAGCAGTGCTCTTAACCACTGAGGCGTTTCTATGGCCCCGACAGGGAATTACGTTTAACACCATTTTGACTGTCATTTCTTCTTCCCTTGCATGCCTTGGTATCTGGTTTTGTTTGTTTGTTTGTTTTGAGACAGGATTTCACTACATAGCCAAGGTTTGCCTTGAATTTGAGATCCTTGTGTCTAGCCTCCTGAGCTCTGGATTATAGGCATGTGACACCGTGCTTACCTTGCCTCCAGCACTCTTCAATGAGAACTGTAACTCCATGTCTTTGCAAAGCCTCTTATTTAAGCTCCTTCCAGAGCAGAGGAGGTGGAGGTGTCGATCGTGAGAAGACTCCTTTGGGTGTCTGAGGCTGGGTGTGTGAGAAGGGCTGCTGTGTGACTTTTCCTGCGAGGCCATGAAAAAAGTGTCTATCCTCGGCACCCAGATAGACCAAAATGACTGTATTCCAGCTCACCTTGGTGAGCCGATGGGTCTATTGGGATTATGTATTTATATTATCGCGCATTAAGGTGTATTACTTACTTCTCTGTTGCTGCGATAAAACACGATAAAAGACAACTTAAAGAAAAGGGAACTTGGACTCTCTAGAAGATCACTTAGGAGTTGTGCAGTAGAGCATCGGTCAATTTTGATCATCCCTCTGGGGTGATATGCAAATGAGATCTAGCATTGTAGGAGCATGCCGTGGACCTGTGCCCAACGACCCTGTCCTGGAGCAGTAAAGTGCCTTAAGACACTGGGTTTCAGAGGGAGAACAGTCCACCATGCTGGGGAGGCATGGTGGCAGGAGCGGGGTTCTGAGAGGTCACGTCGTTCACCACAGATGTAAGAGGGAACAGGGGATGTGACGAGGACATAAACTCTCAGTCCCCACCCCCAGTGACATACCACCTCTAATGGGGCTCCAAACAGTCCACCACGGGACCGAGTGTTCACACGCGAGAGCCAACCATGAGCACCTCTAAGGCAGATTGCATCATCACGAAGCCCACTCCAACACGTGAGGCTGCTTGGAACGGCTGCATCCTGGGAACTTTCTGTATATCTGTAGGAAGCTCCGCCAGGCAGTGTCCTCTCCCAGCAGCTGGTGACTGATTTCTCCTTGGGGAGGAGCCTTATGAGTCCTGAGCCTTAAATGCTATGAACCTTTCTCCTCCATCCAGAAAGGAATATTTCAACTTGGAGGAAATAGCCACAGGACCCTCCACCTTGTCCTCTGGCTCTCCTCCTGGTCTTTCTCCTCTTCTGGCTGTGGCTTTCACTGCTCCTCCTAAAAAACAAAGGTTATTTTTCTTCTTATTTATGAGTATGTATGTGCAGGCGGCCTTGGAGGTTAGAAGTGACCAACCGAATTTCCTGAATTGGTAGTTACAGATGGTACAGCATGAGTTCGGGGAATAGAACTCTGCTCCACTAGAGCAGCAATCACTCTTGACCAGTGAGCCACCTCTCCAACCCCCTGCAGTCCCCAAGCACTTACTTATTTATGTCCCCTCTTCTGGGGTGTTCTGTGTGCCTCAGAGGGGATCAAGAGGCATTTTTCACATCTTCCCAGGAAAAGCCATACAACAGGGATGAAGTTCAATTGCTTCCTTCCCTCCCAGCTTATTTCCTTTTCTACTTAGAAGCAGCCAGGTGAACTATCCTTGCAATAATGTAATCTAGTAGCTAGCTATCGATTTGGAGGAGGCTCAGCAATTGAACCCACAGGGCCAAAAGAGATAATATGTTCTTATTCTGAAATGCTAGCCCAACATAAACGAATGATCTGCCCATTGTCCTGCCAAGCCTAACTGCAGGTAAAGACCCAATTAAACTAGCAAGATATTTTAGATATGTCTATAGACTACCAAGCGACCCAAAGGAAAACCTGACTTCTATAGGATAAGTGGACGACTAAGAGAAGTAACAATAACAAGTGTTTTATATGAGGTATGTAGTCCTAGGTACCATGCACTGAATACTTGATGACTGTCTGTCAAAAACCTTCTGATAACTGTGTAGTATAGGGTCTATTTTTTTTTAATACTGAGGAGTGAACTTAGGGGTTTGTGCATATTAGGCACCTTTTCTACTACGAAACTGGATTGCTAGCACCCTCTTTGCTTTTTATTTTGAGACTCACTAGACTGTCTTAAATTCACTGAGAAGTCCATTTAGGCTGCTGAACCTGCTATCCTCCTGCCTCAACCTTCTGAGTAGCTGGAATTGCTGAATGACATTACCATGCCTGGCTAGGTCCTACCATTATCTCCCGTTTACTGTTGGTGGCACTGAAACCTCATAGGCTCAAGGTGATGGAGCTAAGAAGGCCAACTCAGGACTCACAGACACTGACATAAAACATAAGGCGTGGCGGGAATGTCACTGCCTGGTTTTTAAGATTAATACTTTGTGTGTATGAATGCCTTGCATGCATGTGTGCGCATGTACCATGTGCATGCCTGGTGTTGGTAGAGGCCAGAGAGGGCATCCAGTCTTCCTGAACTGGAATGAGAGTCAGTTGTAAGCCACCATAGGAAGTGAACTTGGGTCGTCTGCAGGAACAGTAGTCGCTCTGAACTACTAAGACATCTCTCCAGCCCTGCCCCTTAGCCCTCTTTTAAAGTAGAATTTATTTGAGGGGCACAGGCTTGTGGTGGAAAGACCAGAAGCTCAAGGTTATTCTTGGCTGTCCAGCGAGTTCAAGGCCAGTCTGGGCTGCAGATAAGTAGGAGCTGGAGATATGGCTCAGTGGTTAAGACCTCTTGTCGCTCTTGCGGAGGGCACAGGTTCAATTCCCAGCATCTACACAGCAGGCCATAACAGTTTGTAACTCTAGTTCCAGAGGGTCTGATGCCCTCTTCTGGCCACCTCAGGGAGGTACATGCGTGGTGCTCAGACATTCAGGTGAAATGCTCACACACATGAAATAAAACAAATCTTCAAAAAGAAGAAACTTTACAAATAAATAGATAAAACAGAAAGGAATTAGTTGGTATTTGCCTCAAGTGTTTGCTTTTAGCTTGCTTTCGGTTTTGATTTGGCCTCACTGGAGTGTGTAATCTGCTCCCATCCACTTCCTGCGTGCTGGGACTAGGGTTGTGGACCAGCATGCTTTGCTCAAGTGTTTTATACCGAGTAAGATAAGCATAAGCGACCTGAGGGAATTAGAGTGCCCTTATGCTGAATGGGATGGCACACACTTGTAATCTCAAAACTTGGCAGACAGAGATAGGGGAACGTGAGTTCAAGGCCAACCTGAGACTCTACATTAAAAAAAATGTATATTTTTGTTGTACAAGCAGCCCTGGCCAGACATTAATCTCATTATCTTTTATGTTCATGTGTATATATTTGTGTGTATGCATGTTCATGTGTATGGAGGCCGAGGTAAATGTTGGCACCCAGAAAATGTCATTTTTCACGTAACAGAGACAGCTATTTCTGAGAAAGGGCCTGGAAATGTGACAGTCACTCCCGGGGAACTAACCAGGCGCACTGGCAGCCCCTGGCGCAGCCTTCTCAGCCAGAACCTTACAGAGTTACTAGGGGTGGTCCACCCTGGCACCACGAGGTCATAAGGAGAGTTCACTGGGCTACTCCAGTTCTCTCTGGGTTTCCGGGATGCAGGGTGATTTGCTCAGTACTCAGCTGAGCATCTTCACAGGGCCCCCTCTGCAGGCTCTGACATAACAGTCTGTTTTCCACTTGGAAGTTCAGACAGGAAACCAGATGGACGACGTGTCAAGAAGACTGACGGCTGAGGGAAAGGACATAGATGATCTTAAGAAAATCAACAGCATGATCGTCAAGCGGCTCAACCAACTGGACTCGGGACGGAACTGAAGGGTTTTTCCCCAGGGGAAGCCACGGATACCTGGAGCGTCTCACTTGCCTGAAAGTACGTAGGCTCAGGACTGAGAAAGTGGACTTCTTCAGGCAGCAGATCTGATCTGTTATACCGGCTGGTTCCAGGACGGGAATCACTCCAACGCACTGAACCTGATTCAGGCTAATTTCCTGCTAACCGGTTGCTTCAGCTTTGGTGCGGTTAGGGTGGTGGGGGCTAGCATGGAGAAGAATCAACAGCAAGAGAACTCGGCTCTCTGCGTGCCGCTACTCACAGAAAACGAGCCTGGCTTAGAAGACTTCCAGTGTTCTACTGAGGTCTGCGATGCCCCCCAGAACCCGTGCAGACTCCTGCACCAGCCCAAGGAATCCACGGAACTGTCTGTGTTGGAGGCGGGCCAGGGGCTCACTCTTTGCACACGTTCTTCTATTGGGATGACTCACTCGGGCGACAGCTTTTGAGCGCCCGCTGTGTGCTCATTGCTGAGAAAGCCTGGGTAGAGGTGTGTGTGGTGAAGCTGAGGACAGAGGGAAAGCCTACTGTAGTCTACCACCATTTCCTGAGCCCCTGCTATGTGGGAACCAGCCGACTCCAGAGACACTCCCACGCACACGCGGATAAAGGCAATTATGTTGACTTGTGTCTAATTTATAAGCCCTGATAGCTTTGCCATGAAAAACAAACAAACAAAAAAACCCTTGGTTTTTTTCTCCTTCGGGAGAAACTGGCTTAGATTTGCGGTCTTTGCTAAAGTAGAGAAGAAACATGTGTATTTGGAAGCTTTCTTGTTTTAGCACACAAGAATAGGGTATGCTGTATATGGCAAAACGGGGCAAAATAAGTGAGTTTAAAGCATGAGTTTTCATTTAATTGGAATATACTGTGAGTCAGTTGAAGAATTATCTTGATTTTTTTTGTCATTTTGGTTTATTCAAAACATTTGAGTAAACCTGAAAATGAAACAGGTGCAAAAACACATCTTGAATAATAATAGATGATGGGATAAACATGAACAATTTTACTTCTACTAGTTATTTATTAATTTTGCACTAAAATATTTATATTGCATACTTTTTCTTAAAATTGATCAATATCATGCAGATCATTAAAAAATACAAAATTTTGAGCCCGGCAGTGGTGGTGCACACCTTTAATCCTAGCACTTGGGAGGCAGAGGCAGGCAGATCTCCGTGATTTCAAGGCCAGCCTAGACAGTCAGCCTGGCCGGCTCCAGGACAGTCAGGGATACACAGAGAAACCCTGTCTCGAAAACGCCCCATTTATTGTGTTTACTGGAAAATTCTGTTATGGCAAAAGCTTCTTGTCGTAAGGATTTATTTTAAACTCTGGAGCAGTTTGAGGATGCTGCCCCTTTGGTCTGAGATGAGGTAGAGGTGGGAGCTAGTGGCCAGCGGCTTTGCTTCTCTGATCTTCAGCTTGAACCCCAATCTCTGTCTCTGGGACTTTTATTAAATTGTGGAACTGGCAGCAATAGGAACATGGGAATGGCAATCTGACTTACCAATTCAAATCCTGGCGTCACTGCTGACTGTGACTTTGGGAGAATAACTGGTAAAACTGGATGCCTATACATTCATTTCATGGTACTAGTGTGAGACCTTAGAAGGTGACAAAAGTGAAGGCATTGGAAGTGTTTTGAAACAGAGTGAGTACTCAGCAAATTCCAGCTAGTGTTGCGGCTATTATCGTTAAAGTAATGGAATGCACTATGGAAATAAACTGATGTGGGTAAACATTGTCTATTGGCAGAGACCTGATTATTTTTGAATGCCATTTAAGATCATAGTATCACGATAGCATCAGGTATAGGAAGAGAGGGACTATTTTAGGAGGTGACAGGTATGAAAGGGTTTCTTGTTTCCCTAGCGATTTAGTTTGGAGACCGCTAGGGTCTGTTGTTGCCTATCCTAGATGGAATCAAGACCTGTCTCCATTGTACTCATCAATGACTTGACTACAAGGTGCGTGCGTGCATGCGTGCGTGTGTGTGAGTGTGTGTGTATGTGTGTGTGGCAGAATATTAAAAGCAAAAGAGTAGAAAAGAAATAGAAGGGACTGGTGACACACATCTTGATGGGAAACGAAAGGAAAGTTTAAATGTCCTCTTCCGGCTGTGATTAGAAGATGGCACAGATCTGAAGACACCAGGTCCTGTGGTGTCATGTACTTTCTCTTTAGTCACGAGATCCTGGCAGGGCCCTCTTTCAGACCTTGCCATGGCAACTCCCTGCAGTAAGCCCAGCTCTCCATGCTTTGTGGGACACCCGAAGGCCACTGGGGTGTGGGGCTGCCTGTAACCAGGAGGGCTATGTAGCCAGAACTGCTGGTGGTCACCCATCTCCAAAGCATGTTTTGTAAAAAGAAAAAAACAAATCAAAGAGGAGCAGGTTTGAAAGGAATCCACATCTTGGGCCGGAGCAATGGCTTAGCAGCTAAGAGCACGGGCTGTTCTGGAAGACCAAGGTTTGATTCCCAGCACTCATATGGAGGCTTACAACCATCTCTGATGCCATCTTCTGGTTTCTGCAGGCCCAGCACACGCGTGGTACACAGATCTGCATTCAGGCAAAACACCCACACACATAAAATAAAAATAAGTCGTTTTTTAAAGAAGCATGGTCTCAACACAAATGGCGCTTGGTTAACTGAAGCCAGTGATAGTCATACGTCACGAATCCAGGCAAGGAAACGTTCAGGTTGAAAACCACGAGTTGAAGATGGCAAGGGAGGGCTGGGCAGTTATAACGGGAGGGCAACTTTAAGAGTAGAGACTGTCTTGCATGCAGTTCAGATTTTTTTCTTTTCTTTTTCGTATCTATGTGTGAGTATTCACATGTATGCACTTCTTAGCGTGTCTGTAGACCGGAAGTGAACCTCTGGTGTCTCTCCTGTTTACCCCGCCCTGTCCAGCTCACCACACTCTGTGAGACACCTGCCCGCTACTGGGGTGTGGGGCTACCTGAGGACCCTGACTACCAAGAGTCCCTCACTAGTCTGGAGCCCACGGAATGGGCTTGGCTGATGGGCCAGTGAGTTCCAGGGGTCTCCCTGTCTCTACATCCATGCTTCTAAGATGACAGGTACGCCACATGGCCAGATTGTTTTCATGGGTTCTAGTTTTTGAACTCAGGTCCTCATGTTTCACGACAAGTGCTTTTCTGACCCAGTTAGCTCCTCAGCCCTTTGTTTAGTTTTCTAAAATAATTTTTAAAAAATGCCTAGGGATTTCTCTATAGGCACTTGCTTTTTGTTCAGTTGTATAAATAGGAGGATGAAGGCAAATAAGGGTAGAGAAGGCAGCTGTGTCACAGAATACAGATCCTACCTCGAAGTGTTTGGCCTCTTTCATGGTGGAGGAAGACAGAAAGGTTTCATGGTCGTGGCTTTGTTGCTGTTCTATTACTGTGAGAAGATTCCATGGCCAAAGCAACATAGAAAAGAAAGCATTTCCTCAAGGGCTGACCTATAGTTTTAGAGAGTCTGGGATCATCATGGCGCTAATCAGTCAGGTGTGGTGCTCGGGCAAAAGCTGAGCATTTTATGTCCTGACCCAGAGGCAGCAGGAAGAGAGAGAGAGACATGGGCCTGGCGTGGGCTTTTGAACGCTTACCCCGGTGGCACACTTCCTCCAACAAGGCCACACCTCCTAATCCTTCTATCTTTCTCAAATGCTTCTATTCCCTGGTGGCTAAAGTTCAAGTATATGAGTCTATAGGTGCCATTCTCATTCAAAGGAACACAGAGGAATTCAGAGGAAGTTGTGGTTCCTCATTTTTCTTTATGTCTTGAGCTCTCTGACTCTGAAAGTTCACTTTTAGGTTTTGAAACAGGCTTCATTATTATTCATGCATGAGTCCTCAAGGATGCAGATTGTGTAAGTTTGTTCCAACAGGACTATTTTTTTCTGAATGTGATGTCTTCTACAGGGCATTTATTGTCTGATGAACAGACAGAGGAGATCAAAAACTTGAAAAAGTGATTAATTATGACTCCTTAGCTGTTAAAAATGTCAAATTTTCCATGCTATAAAATGATTTTTAAAATATTACTAGAGACAGACTAAATTAATTTGATATTTGTATACTGGGGTCAATTTCTGAATTGCCGTACATCTGTCTAGGGGCTTAAAAATAGTTTTTATATATTCAGAAAAGAAGTTGTGGGAACACCAGACCTTGAGCAGAGACCCACTTCCCCTTCTGCCTGGGAGTAGGCAGCTGTAAGACAATGTTTACTAAAAACAATACAATGCCTGGGGGCATTAAGTTCCTGGAAAAGGCCTGCCCACAGAAACCACCCTGACCTCGACCTTGTCCAAAGACTAACCGCCTCTTCTGCCACGCCCAGATCAGTTTCTGGGGAGAGCAGAACCAGCCAGGGGAGAGGAGAGAGCAGAAGCTTCTCTGGTGGGGGCCTTTCTTAGGAAGTTTTCTTGAACCTTTTTGGGGGCCTGCTTAAAGTTTTCTTTACATCGTTGAACGAGTCTCTGTGTTGTCAATCCCCGACACCCTCCGCACCTTCTCAGACACAGGCCGCGCAGCAGACGCGACAGAAGTGTTGGAAAGGACGTAGGCAACACTCGAGGACGTGTGTGTGTGTGTGTGTGTGTGTGTGTGTGCATGTGTGTGAGTCTGTGCATGTGTGTGTGCATGCGTGTGTGTATGTGTGTGTGAGTCTGTTCGTGTGTGTGTTAGTCTGTGCATGTGTGTGTGCATGTGTGTGAGTCTGTGCATGTGTTTGTGCATGAGTGTGTGTGAGTCTGTTCGTGTGTGTGTTAGTCTGTGCATGTGTGTGTGCATGTGTGTGAGTCTGTGCATGTATGTGTGCACGTGTGTGTGTGTGTTTCACACCTCCCAGGACTGAAATTGCAGAAGCATGCCCCCATGCCTGACTCTTTACATGGTGCTGTCTATCTGAGCTCATGTTCTCATGCCCTCCCAGGATACGCTCTACCTATCAAGACATTTCCCTATTCCCCTAGGGCTCTCCTTAAATGTCTCCAGAGTGAAGACAACAGAGAGCCTCAGATGTTTCCATATTAATTGCAGAAGTAATAAAGGAGCTTTCTTTTCCTGTGAATGTGTCTGCATGTTCATGTATGTGCAGGTAGACATGCACATGTGTGTAGAGGTCAGAGGATGACGTCAGGTGTTATCCTGAGGAATATCATGCACCTCCATTGAGCCAGGGTCTCTCACTAGTCTAGAACTGGACACATAGGTTCTACTGACTAGCCAGTCAAGCCTAGGGATCCTTCTGCCTCGTCTCCCCAGTGCTGGCAATACAAGCACATGTTAGCATTCTCTTGTATTTTTTACATGCATTTTGGGGATTGAACTCAGGTCTTCATGCTTGTAAGGCAAGCAAGCACTTTATCAGCTGAGCTATTCCCCCAATCTCACAAAAGGTTTTTTGTTTTTGTTTTTTAAATCATTGTTTTTCCTAATCAATTTGAAATAGTCTCTTCCTTCAACTTTATCTGAACCTCTCAGCTTTGCCTTGAAACTGGGAATTTGTCTCTTCTAGGCATCTCCAGGGTGTGGCACATCGATTGACCCTGTGCGTTTGTTTAAATGGATTCAGTGAGGAAGAGTCTCCTTCAGGCCACCTCCATGACCTCTGCTTTGAAACAGGAACAAAACTGTGCTCACTTAGAGCAGAGGGTGACACCTGGTGGCAGCTGCTTATTTCAGCAAGTCCATCTGAAAAAAAGGAAGGGAGCAGGCAGGCAGGCAAGAGAAGACCCTGGCACACTGATGGAGGGCAAGCAGCTGTTTCAGATAGAACATCTGGGATACACATCTGGAACAAGAACTGTCAGAGGGCTGCCAGGCAGCTGGAAGACCAACAGCTTTGGAGTTGAAGGACTTGAGTTCGCCCATAGTCCTATCTTGCGTCTCCTACTGTTCAACCTCTCATCCGTTCCTCGTCCCCTGCCGCAGGCTGATGGACACTCACAGCGGAAACCGTCCTTGCTAAGCTTTCTTTGTATATACTTTATTAACACATACCAACTGTGCACAGCGAGGAGATTCCAAATACGCATAGAGCAAGAGGTAATGACGTGACCCACCCCCAGTCACATCACACAGACCCCGGTAGTCTCTATTTTTGTTGTTGTTGTTTAGTTTTCTTGCATGAGAGAGAACATACTGTACTTGTATTGACTTCTTTCACTTAACGTGATGTTCTGTTCTAGTTATTCTGATGCAAATGATGTGGTTTCATTCTTCTTTATGGACGAATAGCACTCACACCTTTCAGTCTATTCATCTGTCGGTGGCTGTTGAGGTCGACTGCGTAGCTTAGCTATTGCAAATAACATTACAGTGAGCTTACGCATGTACATAGGTATTTGTTTCGTATGCTGACTTCTGACCGAAGGAATATATGTGGGTTTTGTTTCTCTTTTCTAAGTTCTAAAATTAAGGCTAATTTAGAAAATGCTATTTTTTATGAGAGAGAGAGAGAGAGAGAGAGAGAGAGAGAGAGAGAGAGAGAGAGAGAGAGAGAGAGAGAGAGAGAGAGCGTTATGTTGGAGGCAAGAGGACAACTTTTGGGAGTCAATTCTTTGCTTCCCCTGTGAGTTCCTGGGATCAAAGTCAGAAAGTGCTTTTACTCAGAGTCATCTTGCTTGTCTATTTCAAGAGCCTGTCCTTTGAATATGTGCCTTCATTGTGTTGTGGTGGGTTGCCTCCATTTCTAGTCTATTCAGGGATTATTATCTTGAAGGATTG